GGAGCTGGGACTGCTCTCTGGAAGGCCTGTGGTTTGAGTACTGTAACAGATCATCTCCCCCCACACTCACCAAGTGGGATGGGACAGTCAGAAAAAGTCATCTGCTCAGTAACTTAATGGTAGCAATACTGAAGTGAGCAAGCCTGGTGTATATACAGAGAAATCAGGGTTTCACGTAGAGGAGAGGGCTTGCATTGGAGAGTAGCTTCTCTGCCTTTCTCCTTTTTGGTTCTGCTTGTTACCTATAGTCATCATGTACAAGCCACTCTGTCCCTATCCACCCGTAGATAGTGAAGAACTCAACATAGAGCTCAGGCTACTTTGGTCTCTCACACGGGCTCTGTGGCCAAAGCTCCCTTCTCACAAAGACTAATTTTATCTTATTAAAGCTCGAAAACGGTAGTCTTTGGAAATGCAAACAATGGGTAGAAACAAGTGATTAGGTGCACCACCTTCAGAAAATGACCTTTGTTATGTAACCCAGAGGTGGGGACCACATGGTTTGTACAGATGCAGAGAGCTGTTAGATGAGGAGTGTGCACGTTAAAATGCTGTTTTCACTCAGTCTAGCCTGAGCTTCAACCAGTCCTGGTGTGGTATTGTCAGCTAGCTTCAGAAACCAGGGAAGGAACAATCAGAAACCTTCTGCAGATGGTGAAAATGCCACTAGCCACCTGGCAGCCTGTCTAGCAGCGTTCCGTGTTCTGGGCAGGCTGCATTGTCTTCATCCATGCTGTCAGATTTTAAGATTGCATGGCCAAATATGCCATGGTTGGAGTTTTGTTTCTAGATTCCTTGAGTTACTGGAAAGCTGAGCTGGTGAACTTGGACCATAACACTTAGGGAATACATGAGTTGTTGGTGCTTGAGCTCCACAGCCTGATGCTAAGCAAGAATGCATCATTTTAAGTAAAATAAAATTATTAACCCTCTGGGTTAAAGGCTACAGAAAAACTTAAAAATAGTTACAGGACCCAGAAACAGAGCTGTATTTATCTCCAGGAGTGACTTATGAAATTAAGGCTTTCCCTTAGAGTCATTTCAAATAAACATTACTCAAGTCTTATAATGCTAACATTTGGTAATAGACACAGAGAGGAATGTGGCAAGGCTGGCAGAGGAAACATGTTCATCAGTTAGATACAGGATGCAGAAAGGTGAAGAGCTGAAGAAAAAGCATTTGCACTGAGCAGTAACAGTTTATTTATTAGCACAGTAAGGTGCCTTCATTCAGAGTTAGCCTCTGAATTCACTGCCAGGACTGCTCCTTTGCTTGATACAGCAGCAAATGGGAGAAAGTGTACAGTTTTGTCATGCTGCTTTGTTCAACATTCCAGTTTAACTCAAAAATATGATGTTTGAGCCACAGCTGATTTTATTTTTTTTTTCCAGCTTACAGTGATTTGAGACTCGTAGCTCTAAACAATCAGACATTAGGAGCTTTGGGAAATGGGATTAAAAATCCAAAGCCACTACACACTGTTCCCTGCACGAGGTTGCCTCATCGGAGGCTACTGGCACTGTCCCTCCAGCCAAAGCACTGCAGGGAAGCTCAAATCCCTCCTGGCTGTTTAGGGCTCCCCTGCCCCAACAGCCATTTGCTCATCAAACCAACTCCAACCCCTGTGTAGGCAGGCAGTAACGTACTGACAGACTTCAAACTCCTCTTCCTCGCCCTACATGAATGTAAAGCTGTTCATGCTGTTGCAGCTGTGGAGTTCATGAGGAATACAAAAACACTGCAAAAGAGAAGACAAGCCACAACCTTTGAGAAATATGTATATATATATATATATATATACACACATACATATATATATATATACACATGCAGCAGAGAAACAGGAGACATATGAAAACAAAATATATTTTATTAAAATTAAGCATGTTAGCACCTCAGTGTAACCTGGAGAAGTCCAAGAGTCCGGCAGTTAACCAGTCCAGCAGGGCTGAAGGGCTGAACGTCCTGAAGTGCATTCCAATGGTAGAAAAAGTACCACGAGTGTTGTGCCACACACATTCTCAAGAAGCTGGGACATACAACCAGTCTCATTTGTGAGGAGAGAGGTTGTGCTGCCTGCTGTCCTGATGGAAGCACATAGATCTGCTGGACTAATTACATATGTGAAATCAGATGGTGTATCAGGTACCTTCTTTCCACACAAAACCAACCAAAACAAACCAACCAATTAATCCAAAACCTTGCTGCTTTACTTGACTCACAGGAAAATCAGGATATCAGGGAGCTGAAGTTAAGAGCTACATATCAGATCAGAAAAAATAAATTAAAATGAAATAATGGCAAACAGCACATAAAGAGATGTGTAGTATCCTTACAGTCAACCATCCAACTTGGTACACATTAATAGAAAAAAGAGCCATGCATCACATAGCAGGCTGTGACAACCGCCACCTGTAGCTGACTGGGGTGCACCATCACCAGACCAAATCCCACTGTGCCGTTTTCTTCAGTCAGAAAACCCACAGTTGTAAAGCTATGTTAGCCAGGGTTACAAAGCTTACAATATTTTCAAACTAAACATAACTTCTTACATTTAGAAAATACTTCCAGAAAATTTCGCAAAACTGGCATCCTGACCTCGCAAGTGTAATGTGCTCTGGTCATGGGAGAAAGATCTCATAGGGCAGGGGGCCCCTGGGTGTTCCTCCCTCTAGTGCAATTATGGGCACACTGTGGTGAACTGCACTTGTTCTCAACACCCACTGCTAGTAAAGCCATACCCCCTTACATACACACTGCCACTGAGCTACAGAGGTGCATCAGATAACCCCTCTTCCTACTCTGAAGTGCTGAGGTATCTGTTCCACCAGCTAACCAGCAGTGTGTATTCAAGCCCAAAGAGCGGCCTTGCTGCCCTCATGCCACCCTCTAACTAGCCAACGCTGATTTGGTTTCCTGTTGCTGAAAGTGACTAACGCTGGCTAAAACCAGAAACTACACAATCATTTCACATGGTTTGTTATAATAGTTATAAATCTCAGTTTAGAATACACAAGCATGTTTCAGTAAGGTCTTGCCTAATGTACAGATTATTAGTCATGCTGACTAGTTTAGGATTAGATAGCAAGGGTTTGCAACCACTGCAGATAAACTCGCTTTGCGTCTGTTCCATCCTGAACGAAAGCCAAGGATTTCAATCCCAGTGTGTTACAAAGCCTCCGTTTCATGAGGAGTTCTTAAGCTGATGAGATAAAACTACAGCTGTCAAATGCCACTGGACTCTGTACCAGACTGTAATCCTTACTCAGTGTTGAGACATCTGTAACAAATACATGTGCACTGCAGAGTAAGCAGAAACTACATACGACAAGCACTCTTTAACCTAGGGATCCTGTCACTCTAGAAACAGCAGTCTTTTATGGCATCAGTAATTTACTGAAGAAACACATCACCCTGAGAGGGTTTATAAAGCTTTCCTCATGCCTCTGCTATGCAAGGCCAAACACGACATCCTTGTTCATTCTATGAAGGGCTCGGTGCCAACCACGCTTCCAGCTGCGCCTTCTCCAGGGTAGTGTTGCTGCTACCTCACTTACCACGGGCGAGTTTATTTGCTGAAAACCGACACCCTACTTCCACTTGGTGGTGACACGGATCCCATCCGCACTACGAGAAGCGGTTTCTGCCACTGTCGGCACGGAGGGTGGTGATGGGCCCGCTGTAGGCGGGACGCCGGCAGGCGCCCGCAGTGCTAAGCTTGGGGAGAACGGTAACGGGGCTTGGCACTGAGGCGACAGCGGCCGCCCCGTCTAGGAAGGAAGATCCCTATGGCGCGGGTATGCTTCGGTGGAGACAGGAGGAACCAGGCAGAGAGGGCTGGGATGGGGGCCGCAGCCTGCGCCGTCCCCGCTCTGCCAGGGCACCTCCCCGAGGGCGGCGGAGGCTCCGAAGTGCAGAGCCCCGCGCCGGGCGCCGGCAGCCTCAGAGGCCGTGGCGCTTGCGGGTTCCGGCGCTGGCGGCGTGGAGCAGCCGATCCTTCTCGCGGATCTCCTCACGGAGCTGGGCCTCGGCCAGGCGCAGGCGGCGGATGCTGCCCTTCATCTCCTTCATCTTCACCTCCAGCAGCGCGATGATGTCGCGCTGCTCGTTCAACTTCCTCAGCAGCTCCTCAGACGTGGTGCCCGACGACAGCGAGTATGAGTGGTCCGGGGGACCGCCCTCCAACGGGCCCTCCTCCCCTGCCGCCGGTAGCCTCCCGGGGCCGGGCCCCACGGTGGCCCCGGGCCCGAGCTCCACCTGCACCGTCAGGTCGATAGGCTTCACGTCCTCGGCCGCGCCCCCTGCCGGGACCGCGACGGCAGCGGCAGCAGCGGGGCCCTGCGCGGCGGCAGCGGCGGCGGCGGGGCGGGGGCGGCGGGCGGCCCGCTGCGCCTTGCGCTCGTTGACGCCGCGCAGCGGAAAGATGGTGGGGACCCGCACTAGGTAGGACTTGCGGCCGCCCTGGAAGTGCTCGCTGCAGACGCGGTGGCCCGTGGTGGGCTGGAAGGTGCTGAAGCAGCCGCTGACGCCCGCCCGGGAGACGTTCTTCAGCCAGAGGCGCCGCAGCTCCTCGTCCTTGGGGAAGGTGTAGAAGTGCAGCGCCTTGTCGCGGTGCGAGTTGTTGTAGCAGCCCGGCACGCAGCAGGTGAAGCCCGGCATGGCGGGGCGGGGGGGAAACGGCCGCGGGAGGGGGAGGGGGGGGGGGGGGCGCCGCCGAACTACAGCTCCCACAAGGCCAACCGCGGCCTCTCGCCGCCGGCCGACACCGCCCGCCGCGGCCGCACCGGAACTACGCGGACCACAATGCACCACGGCGATAACGCCGAGCCGGAACTACCCGCCCTGCCAAGGCCCCGCCCGCTCCCGTGAGGCGCCGCGCGCGCGCGCGCGCCTTAGACTGCCGTGACCGCCCGCCTTAGTGGTCGCCGTGTCTGCTGGCGGCTTGATCACCGGAGCTGCGGCCATATCCGCCTGCCCCTTGACCACCAGAGCGCCCGCCATGTCCGCCAGCCCCTTATCCGCCCGCCGCTCGAGCAAGGGAGTGGCCGCTGCTCCCGCCCGCCGCTCATCGTCCCGCCGCTCGACTACCGGAGCGACCGGTGTGTCTGTCCGCCGCTCATCCTCCCGCCGCTCGACCACGGGAACTGCTGGTGTGCGTGTCCGCCGCTCGACTACCGGAGCGGCAGCCGAGGTGATGGATGGGGCCGGGGAGAGGGTATGGAAAGAAGGGAGAGAAAGCACAGGTGGGACCGGCCGGCGCGCGCTGCCCGCCCTTCCCGAGAGGAGCGAGGACCCCGCGGCCGGGCCGGTGAGCCCAGGGTGCGCCTGATGCGCGGGTAGACTCCATAACTCATTGCAAGTTGTAGAGTAGGTATGCTTTATTCATCGCTGAGGCGCATGGGGGATCGCTCCTCCAAAAGCATGCGCACCCCAGCGTTGTTCACCTCTATATTTATCTATTAAACTTATCTATCTATTAAACTATTACATATGCATTAGATTACACAACGCACTTATACATATTCATGACCTATCCCCGCTTCGTATTGTAATGAGGTAAAAGGTCCTTGCTTGCGTAGTGTCTCCTGGTGGTTGTGGGCGAGGGTCTCAAGATGAAGTAAATGAGTCTTCCCTGAACTTTTCATCTCCAGTCATTGCGCATGTTCCCTGGTGATTTAGTCACTGTCCAAACCGCAGAGGTGATTTCAGCCAGTTTAGGGGTCCAGAGAACAGGAACCACATTACTGTTCCTTCCTCTTATCAATAGCCTTGGCCCTCCCACCCTGTTCCAGCAAGCACGATAAGTGTTGAGCACGCATTTGTTGAGTAAGCAGTAACATTGTTAAGCAAGGGGCTTAACCCTAACCACCTTGTACATCGGTTAACCCTTTGCATCACTCCTTGTCCATTTAATGTGTAAAACGGGCTGAAGACCCTGAATTCTGCACTTTACAAGTAGCCAGGGCCCTGAGAGCCTTGCATCTCCCTTATGGTTGTGTTCTGCTATGTTTTTTTGTGGGGTTCACATGAGGGGCCATAGGCCATGCCCTCAAGTCTCTCAGGCTTTGGTCTATGATGGGATTGTGCATCACTGTGAATTGTCTCCTGTCCAGAACCAACATGACAGTACTGTTAAAAAAGCAAATGTGTTTCGTTGTTCCAACTTGTTTGGGAATTTGGAAGATGTGTTAAGTAGCTTAGATTGTTATTCGAGGATGCATGATGAATGCTTTTGATGCTAAGGGTCATCTCTAGTGATAAAAATACAGTTTTTGAGTTGTGTTTGTCTAATGTCTCTCTTTAGACCAGAGCTGATCCAGGAAAGAAGAATTTGGGCAGAAGTACTTTGGTGGGGCTGGGGCCGCTGTTGTGTGATAATATCAGTGACACACCACGGACTTTGATCAAGAAAATCATCCACATCTGTAAGTATCCTTTATTTTCAGGAAAGCAGAGAGGAGAAGGACAATATTTTGGTGGAGCTGAGAATAGATGTTCTTCTGTAGCTTGTTCTTACCCTGTTACATCGAACAGAAATACAGACCCTTGTATGGCCAATGTATGTATGTCCTGGGTTTGGCTGTAACAGTTATCTTTTTCCTTCCCGGTAGCTGGTGTAGTGCTGTGTTTGGGGTTTAGTCTGAGAACAATGCTGGTAACACACCAATGTTTTAGTTGTTGCTCAGTAGCAAGGACTTTTCAGTCTCATGCTTTGCCAGTGATGAGAGGCACAAGAAGCCGTGAGGAAGCACTAACAGAACACTTGACCCAAACTAACCAAAGGAGTATTCCATACCATAGCATGTCATACCCAGTATATAAACTGGGGGAGTCACCCAGAAGGCCCAGATTGCTGCTCGGGTTGGGCTGGATATAGGTCAAGTGCTGAGCAATTGTGTTGGACATCACTTGTATTTATTGTTTTTTTTCCCCTTTCCCTTTTAGTTTTATATTCTTTCCCCTTGTTATTTCCCTTATTATTAGTAGTAGTTTAATATTATACTTCAGTTATCAAACTGATGTTATCTCAACCCGTGGGGTTTACATTCTTCAGATTTTCCTCCCCATCCCACCTGGAGGTGGGAGGGGAAGAGGAAGGAGTGAGCAAGTGGCTTCATGATGCTGAGTTACCAGCTGGGCTTGAACCACAACAGTGTGAAAGAGGAATCACTTCAGTGGCAGCTGAATGAGGACAGGTGATGCAGCTCTGTCTCAGAGACCAGGTCTTGCACTGGCAAAGTCATATTCCTGAAAACCCTCTTTACTTAATGTAATTAACCTGGGACCAAGCACCTAATCCTTGTGCTGCCTTTACCTTTAGGACCATGAATAAATCACAGAAGCACACACTATCACAAACTCCAGCATACAGGACTCTGTTGGCTTTATCACTGTACAAGCCATCCTTCTGAGTAGAACCCAATAGTTTTAACCAGTTCTTTTAACCCATTAATACATGTAACTTACAGAATATAGTGTAAGTTTGTCACTCTGCTGCATTCTGGTGTTCTTGCTGGATTGAACTGTGAAAAATAATGTTTTGGTTTGTTGGCAGTTCCACCAGCTTCACCTGTGGTACCTGACATAGCAAAACATGAAGACCCAGAAGCGGCAGCAGAAGAAGCTCAAGCAGAACTCCCAACTGGGAGGCTTTCCAACATGTAACTAATTGTTAACATTTTTACTTTGATTTCTCCTTTTTTTTTTTTTTTGTACACTATAGCTGCAGTTCCAATGATGGGACTGGGGAACAGGATTTCTCTGCTTCTGTTTCAGTGATCAGAATTGCGTTCCGTCCAGTGAGATTTTCGTGAATACCTTTCCAGCTTTGAAAGTCACGTAGGAATCACTGGAACTGAGGGACTGAGAAGCAAATACTGTGGGCTTGTGCTTAGTCCACCTTCTTAAATACAGACTTCGAATATCTTTCTGCAGTGGAAGTGCTGGTCAGGAGAATCATAGAATCCCAGACTGGTTTGGGTTGGAAGAGACCTTAAAGCTCATCCAGTTCCAACCCCCCGCTACAGGTAGAGACACCTTCCACTAGAGCAGGTTGCTCCAAGACCTGTCAAAGCTGGCCTTGAACACTGCCAGGGATGGACAGCCACAGCTCCTCTGGGCAGCCTGTGCCAGCCATAGCTCCTCTGGGCAACCTATGCCAGGGCCTCTCCACCCTCACAGGGAAGAACTTCTGCCTAAGATCTCATCTCAGTTTCCCCTCTGTCAGGTTAAAGCCATTCCCCCCTGTCCTGTCCCTACAGACCCTTGTCCAAAGCCCCTCTCCAGGTTTCTTGTAGCCCCTTTAGGCCCTGGAGCTGCTCTAAGGCCTCCCCTTTAGGAGCCTTCTCTTCAGGTTGAAAAAGTCCAGCTCTCTCAGCCTGTCAAGTCTGAAGATCAAAAATCTCTTGGTGGGAATGTACTTTCCTCAGTTATCTGTGACATACTAAAGAAGTTCTTGGATCTCTTCGAGGCTCCAAGTTGCATGCTGACAGTTCTAGTTCTTAACGAGTGACTGCCATGTCTTATATTCAGAGCACAGGCTTCTGTAGCTTTGTACAGTTTTGCTGCTTCTTGATTGTCCTTGTTTTGGACTGCTCAGGATAACTTTCTTCCTGTAGAGTGGTTTGGAGCTCAGCTGCTTTTAGTCATTAGCTTCCATTAATGTTTTAAGTTACTAGGCCTGGCTGAATTGCAGAGGCTAAAGTATGGTTCATTGACTTCATTATGAAACAGAAGAAAGCCAGTAGTGATGGTAAGTCTTAATTTGCTTCAACCAGTTTTGTCACAACACTGGTGCCCATTTTTGCTTACTGCAAAACAGACTGTTCTAAATGATGTGATTTCCTTTGTCTTTATAGCTAAACTCTTTACATTGACCACAAGCAGCCTTAAATAAGGTCATGCGAAATACTAAGTGAACTTCTATAGATATTTTAATAGAGGAAGAAACACCTTAGTTTTCTGTAAGTGTAGCAGCTTGTTGATTTGTATTTTGTTCCTTTTTTTCTTAAATCTAAAAAAGCAATATTATTTTAGTTCCTTCTTGATTTTGCTTGTTGTAGTTCTTGAACCTCTTTGTGCTTTTCCTCAGCCTTTCTCAATTGAAAAGCCAAGCCAGCTGATCCTTGTAGAGTTCTATATTCCATGTGTTAGCTGGTCACAGAATGTAAATAGATGTAGACTTTTTGTTTTAATTCCTTTCTCGCAACCTTCCTTTAGTTGATATGGGCTTTCCTTTGTTTGCACAGGCACTGCCTTCCTTAGCTGTAATAGCAGATTCCAGGAGAGATATGAAAAAAAAAAAAGCACAGTCTTTTCCCCATTACAAGCCAGTTAATTCTAACACTTTAGGCTTACATTATAAGAAATGAAACTTGGCTACACTTCTGAGTGGTAGAGAATGTGATTTGTAAGGGGAACAGATTTGTGAACGTGATGGTCTTGCAATTCGGTGGGGTGCTGTCAGCAGCTCACTGCCTGAACGTGACCTTCATGAGAAGGAGACTCTTGTAACTTACCACAAAAGGGGGACAACAAAACAGGAACTTACTTCCTGATCTTGACCCACTGCCTGGCTGGGATATGACATGTCCATTCCATGTACCACTGTGCTTTGTTGTACCTACTGTTGTTTCGTGATGATGGCTTTTTCATTTCATCCCTCTTTGGATGCAGGAGAGGGACTCTTCATCAGTGACCGTAGTGATAGGACAAGGGGTGATGGGCTGAAACTTAAACAGGGGAGAACTTTGTCAGAAGTTCTTCCCTGTGAGGGTGCTGAGGCACTGGCACAGGTTGCCCAGAGAAGCTGTGGATACCCCATCCCTGGCAGTGTTCAAGGCCAGCTTGGATGGGCCTTGGAGCAACCTGGTCTAGTGGAAGGTGTCTCTGCCTGTGGCAGGGGGTTGGAACTGAGTGAGCTTTGAGGTCCCTTCCAAACGAAACCAATTTGGGATTCTGTGGTTTACATTGTAATGATTGCCAAGCCCAATTGCTCCTGTGGGCTGTTAGGAGGAGAGTGCTATGGAGCAGCTTTTTCAAGCTTTTACTCTGATCTTTCTGAACCTTGCTGTTTTGAATATACACTCAAGTTTTGATTCTCCTTGTGAAATTTACTTTGGTTTAGTAGGAGGGAATGACATGTTCCTGCATTTGCCAAACTGATCACTTAGTTCCTTAATTCTGCTGCAGCAGGGTCAAAATATTTTAATTTGATTTTCAGTGGCATTACAGGGGCCTTTCTAGGGTAGCTATGTGATAATATCATCCTCTGTTAAAGGCTTGGTTTGTGTTGGCAGGGAGGAAATGCAGCTGCCAGAGCTTGTTCCTGAGGAGAGAGCTGTCTTCACACCTCTTATGAATAAGAAGAGAAAGCAACTCAAAATTTCTGAATTTGAGAGAGCAGTAAGCCAACAAATTGTCCAGAACCAAGGTAAGGCCACAGTGAAAAAGTGACGCGGGAGTCACGGACAACGTAGAGGTGATCAATGTGATCAAGCGATTGCCAATTAGCTGATGTAACCAATATAGATTCTGATTGGCTCAAAAGTGCCATCCACACATTTTCGAAGTAGATAATAGGTTAGCTGAAAGCTTGTCCATTTGTTACTTTTTGCACACATCTTACAGTTTTCCCATCCCGCTTCTACGTCTTGTTAACCTTGAGCAAACGCCAAGTTCCTTGTTCTACTGCACATAGCTGTCCTTTAGTAACCTAAGGTTAGGCCTTGCAGCCTGGGTAACTTGAGTTCAGGCCTTACAACTTAACCCAGAGTTTGACTAAAACCAAACAGCTGGGATGGCTCACATGTCTCTTGTTCAGCTGTATTCTTCATAACCGCCATCTCCTAAGGCTAAGACGTCTGGGCTGGTCACGAAATGACCATCATTCCTTAGCCAATCCACAAAAAACTGCCTTGTTCAGCACTACTTTTGCTGTCAGTGGATTTTCATCTGCTACAGTTTAGTTCTTAGTAACTTCTCAGCTAAGCAGCTGTACGTTTGAAAGCAAGATTGCAGCATCTTGTGCAAAGGGCATAGCAGAGAACGGAAATCCCTTCCTATCAAACTGAAAATAAGCCTTTTTGAGCAGTTACAAACTCTGCCTTGACTGTAACTTCTTGACTGTTTTTACAGCTGGGTGTTCTTTGAGTTTTGAAGTATCTCCACAGAAAGCAATCCCTATCTTTCCCTCAGTTCCAGAAACTTGAAAATACAGCAAGCTGCCAACTTGACTGCAGTTACATCAAATAAGTTATAAAGTTCTTGTTTGGGAAAGAAGGATCTTATAGCTTTATAAAAGATACAATGTTTTATATTGGGTCGAGTCTTCCATGTAAATACAAATATGCAAAATTTGGTAAATAAAATTTTAATTTTAGTTGCAGTTTAACAAGGACAGTTAAAACATCTCCCCTTAGTTTACATATCCTATTGGCAGTAGCAACCGGAGTAGAATTTGGGAATGGGATTCAACTCCAAATTAGAGACCTCAGGGCCAAATTACAGGTGCTCTGTGCCTGTGTGTATATAAGGTAACTGGAGTCCTCCTGAAGTTTAGAGGAGGTCTGGTCAATGGAATATGGAGGGTGATTTAGCCTACCTTAAAGTAGACACCTACATTTGATTAATGGTGCTTGGCTGTAATGGGACCATAAACACCTGTGTTTGGATACTTTAATCTGGAGATGAATCCCACCATGACTCACCTGTGGTCAAAAAAATCAGCTTGTCTGTCGTTAGCCTTGTACCTGATCTGAACATGTTCTGGTAAAATGTAGGCAGCTCTGAAAAGCAGACCGCTGCATGCTCCAGTATTTTCTAGCATGAGTGTGATTTTGTCACTGCTCTCCAGATCTGCTTTCTGCATATTTTGGGGAATTCATGAGTAGAACAAGTTTGTGTTACAGTTTTATACATAATCTACTTCTAAAGTTTTCAAACGCTTTAATGTTTGGTTTGTGTTGCTGCAGGGTGGTTATGACTGAGGCCCTAGCCTAGCATCTTGCTATAAATGTAAGAATAATATTATTGAGTGGTAGGGCACGTCCCATATTCAATTTTCTTTGAAATAACTTTTATTACCCTTTCAGAACCTGCTTATTAGAATTCTCATACACAGTTCTGAAATGAAGACAGAATTTGTAAAGTGAACCCATCGTTTAATTCTGTTCTCTCTAAAATGAAACTTCTGAGAATTGTAGCACATAGAAGGAGGACCATTGGGTTGCTCCTGTAGCCTGTAGAGTAGAGAGTAATTTCTCACCTGCTGTGCTTTCTTAGCTAACATATCACCGATGTTTTCTAGCTCCGTCACTGCTGGACAGCGCTGTGGCTGGGTGAGTTTAAACTAAAATGTCTTTACTCCTAGCTGTCCAAACTATAGCTGCCTTGATTCATCATCTCTGTAGTTGGGAAGAGCAGTATAGACACCTGGGTGCATGATGAAGACCTGTGTCACTAATACACAATCATATTTTCCCCCCTCCCCCAGTGATGGCATTTGAACGTGTCACACTACACACCTTGTGATTTTCAGAAACTGTGGTTCTGCCTTGTATACTCAGGTTGGGCTAGCTCGAATTGCTGCTATCGCTCGTCTCTACTCAGTAGGATCACTGCTTCTTTCCTTTCATTCTCATGTTTCCAAAAATAAATCAGTACGTAGTAGACCTTAGCATATTTAATTATCTCTGCCTGTTAATTGTCTCATCACATAAGTTGCATCTATGCAATCTTTAGTCCAGCTTCCCTGAACTTTTAAAAGCTTCTTTGCAAGTCAGAAAGCTTCTTTTGCTGTGTTGCCCATGCACTTTGCTAATGATCCTAGGCATAATTAGCAAATTAATTCACCTTTCTCACTGCAGCCCTTGTCTGTGGCCCCACACAAGGCTGTTGCAGAGGGCTACATTCTAAAATCCCATGGGTTGAGATAAGAACAGTTTAGTAATTGAAATAAAAGTAAAACATAATAATACAATAATAATGGTAAAGAGAGAGGAAGGAATAAACTTCCCCCCCCCAAACCTCAAGTGATGCACAGCACAGTTGCTCACCACCAGCTGACCAATCCCCAGGAGCAGTCAGTGCCTCCTGTCAGCTCCCCCCAGTTTCTATCCCAAGCATGATGCTTTGTGGTGTGGAATACCCCTTTGGGTGGTTTGGGGTAGGTGTCCCTCCTGGTTTCTTGTGCCCCTCCTCACTGGCAGTGCATGAGATTGAAAAGTCCTTGATCAGGGGAAGCCCTACTGAGCAATAACTAAACCATCATTATGGTCAGCATTGTTCTTAAACTAAAGCAGAAACGCAGAACTGCACCAGCTACTGGGAAGAGAAATAACTGTCCCAGCCAAAACCAGGACAGTGCCTGCCTACCTACCCACCTATTCCATGCCATTTGTGTCATGGTGGTGCACCAGCACCTTTCCTGCCTTTCAGTGTATGTACCTATGAATCCTCTTGAGCCCCCTTTTTCATTAGGCTGCCTTGAGAGAGGGAACAAAGGTAGCTGAGCATGGCCAGTTTCTTTATGATGCAAAAAATTTACAATGAGGTACATCTCTTCCTGTGCTTTGCAGGTTGCTATCTTAGTTCCTGTCTTAAAAAGTTACAGTATGTTGGTAGCTGCACTTAGTTGTGAATACTGATACTAAGCAGCTTCTTAGACTTGGTCTGAAGTCCTCCTTAAAACTTCTAAAATTCCTGAACCTTTCATCAGATGTGTTGTTGCAGCCCTCTTGAGGCTGCAGGCTGTTTCCTGATCTCTAACATACATCCTGATGTTATGCGGTATCATGGAATTAAACTATTTGTTTAAAGTTGGCTGGCATGTAATCTTCAAGGTTTTGGGGGGGAAATCTCTCTTACCTAAGGGATTTGTGATAATAACTGATAATAATTGTGATAATGATTATAATAATTGATAATGATTATGATAATAATTGTCTTGCTGTTACTGGCACCATGTTAGTAATCTGAGAGTAAAAAGGAGTATGTAAGCTTGGAAAATTTTTTCCTTCCTCTTTTGACAGATCTCTTAGCATGTCTCTTGGATACATGGTCCAGCCAGACACTGTTGAAAGGAGACACCTGCGCCGGAGGCCAAATAATCGCAAACCTGTTGACATAAAAGCTTTTGAAGACAAAGTGGAACAGGACATACTGAGGAGAAAAGGTTTCTTTCATGTTCTTCCTTTTGTTTTGGGAGGGAGTGCCTTCTATAACGTGGCTTGTAGAAGCAGTTTCTGAAGTGCAGTCTGTATTTTATGGTTTAAAGGGTACTAGCACGCTCACAAAATCCAGTATAATTTTGGAAGCAAGATTAGAATGAGGCTCTGTATCTGTACTTGCTTTGATTCTATGTGCTTAAGTATGTGCTCTACCCATTTTAGTGATTTATACCAGGAATCATTTGATATCATGTTTGTAACTGCGGGTACTGGGGAGACACTTTAGTGGAGAAAGTTTGGGACACTGAAGTGTGGTGATAACATTTCAGGTTTTGATCTGTGGAGGATTAATAAAATTTGGTTGAATGATTTCAATTTTGTATTATGCAAGTCCTGGTAGTAAACGTATCTCCTGGGACCTTAAACACTTTTTCACATAAAACTTGTTCTAAAACTTTCTGAACAGCACAGAGCTATCTTGTGGACTCAGAAATGTCACCTGGAAGTCAGACAGCCATGCTGACAAGTGTGGGTACATGCAAGAGAAGGACCCAGGGATATTCTCAGGACTTAGTCCTTGATCAAGAGCATGTTGACAGTATGACTCCTGTATCTTCAAAATCACGTGAAAACCCACAAGAAAGTAAGCAAGATCATTCCCAGTGGACTAACTCAATGGATCAGCTCTCTGTTTCAGAAGAAGTGGTGGTTGGCAGTGAGTACTATGGGTTAGGACTTGGGGCTTAGCAGGTAATATCTGAAATCACAGGATGGTTAAGATAGGAAGGGACCTCTCAAGGTCATCTTCTCCAACCCCTCTGCTCCAGTAGGGTCACCCGTAGCAGGTTGCCCAGGTATCATTCACCCTCACAGGGAAAAATTGTTTCCTGATGTTCAGAGCCTCCTGTGTTCGAGTCTGTACAGGTTACTTCTTCTCCTGGCACTGGGCACCACTAAAAAGAGCCAGGCTCTATCTCCTTTACGCTGTCAGTCAAAGCTCCCTATGCTTTCCATGAAGTATGGACAGCTGATGTTTCATTTAGGGTTTTTTTATGATCCTTTTTCAAAAGGGCCATGGTATTTAAAAAATGGTTGGTGAATTCAGTACTGCTCAAGCCAGGAGAAGAGTTCTTACCCTGGAAACCTTAGAAATGAATTAATTCCTAGTGGACTGTTGCAACATACTCTGCTTCTGGAGGGTTGTCTGTGGCATGCTGGAGGGAAAGGTTGTGTTGAAGGGACAAGAGAAGAGATCTACAGAAAAAAGTTGGTTGCTTTGAAGAGTCCAGTGGTAGGCACTGTGAGGACAAATGGATAGATAACATGGAGGTAAGTATGGAGGACATGGAATAGGGGACTGGATCAAATGAGAGGAAGAGGAGGAGGTTAAGAGTGTATCTGAAAGATGCTGGAGGTTATAAGGCATTACGGTCAAATGTAAATGGTTACCTAGTTCTGCTGTTTTACCAAAGGTAGCTGATGCCAGTGTTGCTCCACAGTTTGAGCTGGAAAAATAGTTGCAAGGACTTCTCCAACTGTTTCCTGAGATTCAGTGTGAACTCTGAGCTGTTCCATGTAAAGAAGGAATGTTTTCTTGTGTGCACTTCTCTCTGTGTGATTGTTTTTTTTTTTACTTAGCAGGAAAATGAAAAGAAAGTTTAAAAAGAGACTAGGGGCATGTTAATGCTCTCGATTACTAGCTGTTAATAGACGGAGCTCCTCTTTGTCGTCCAGAAGTTCAAGTAAATGTTTGGGGTCCCCAGTCACTTGAAACCCTAAGAGATCTTTCAGCAAGTCTTTGGGAGATGTTGTGGCCCATATAATTAAGGTCATAGATGTAAGTGATACAGAAGAAGAGATAGCTAAGAAAGTTGACAGAGTGGATCAGGAAGAGAATTTCAGAGAGGGTAAGAAGTGCTTTCAGTGTTAGAAGGGAATGCAGTGCTTTAATCTGATTAAGAGTTTTTTAGGTGACTCACAGAGTGAAATCAAGATTTAATTGTGCAGTAGATGCTTGAGATAAAGTAATTGAAGTCTCATCAGAGAGAGACTGATGGTGTGAGCATTTCCAGACAAGCTTTCTCAAAGGAGGCTGTGACTTGCTCATGTGTTTTCTTGTCAGTATTTTCTCTGTTCACAGTTCTGCAAATGAAGTATAGGTTCATATGTTTTGATAGGTCCATAGTACTGATCATCTTCCCAAAGGAAAGATGAATAGCTCCCTCCTGGCAAGGAATGCATCTGGCTAATCATTCTTTTTGGTTTGTATACATTCTAATGCTTTACTATAATTATTTAAGCCATGTTGGCTGTTATCTTTCTTCAGTACTAACCAGCATCTTTTTCTCTTTAGACAAGAGCTTGAAGGGTGCCTTCTAGTAAGTAATGAAGATCCAGTTTAGGATCCTTTTTAAGTCTTTTCCATTGTTTCTTTCACAGAAGCAGCCCCTTCAGAAGAAGAGGGAATAGCAGAAGGAGGCATTGAATACCACGGCTCTCCTGAAGCCGGTGAGGACAACCTCTGATACTGAATCTGTAATGCCAGAGATGTCTCAAGATGCATTGTTGGCATCATTGCTGGGAGAGATACTTGTTAACTCTGTTTGTATTCTGGAATCTGGGCTAAATACTGGGAAAATAGCAAACTAATTTTAAGCATTTTAAGCTGAAAGATTACATTCTGCTCAAATGGGAATCAAAATTGCTTTGGCAATAGTGTTTAGAAATATATAATTGCAGAAGGCATCTTCAGTTAAAATTTACCACTGGAAGTTCTAGAATCAGGCAGAGATTGATAAAATTTGGAGATCTTCTGAGTGTGTTCACAAATCAGGAACTCCCAAGTTACTTTCCCTGAATTGTTGGGTCTTCTGTGTTCAACATACTGTATTAAGGCTTTGGTAAGACTTTTTTTGAGATAAAAGCACTTACTAAAGGGAGTTCATTTCCAAAGGAGCTCAGATAAAAATTGCACTCAAACCTCATGGTCTGCTCCACATTACCAACTGCTGTTTTTTTTGTTTTGTTTTGTTTGACACCTAGATGTACCAGAGGGAAAAGCTGAGGGTTTTCAATGCTTTAGCTTGTCTAGTTTAGTGTGGTGATGCTTTATCCTTGAAGATAGGAATATAATTGGCGGCATTTCCATTGTCAGGAATGGAAAGCTGGGTTTTGTTCTTATGAGTGCTCTGAAATTTTGGCTAAGATACTTGTTTCAGTGATGTATTTTTCCTGTTTGGAAATTTAGAGTGTGAGATTGCCCAAGGTATTGGAGCTGGAAGTCTGAGTAAGCATTCTAATCCGACCTTCTCTGAAAAATCTGAGATGGAGCCCTTGAAGGATGCTGTTGAACAAGCAGGTGAACTAGAGGACCAGGCTATTTTGATAGAATTGGATAGTCTAGAAGAGCCTACTGAGGATGCAGCTGAAGACACTGAGAATGAAGGTAAGTAGTACCTTCAGCAGTAGCAGAGGCAGTTGGAGAAATTTTTCCATTATTTCTTGATAGATTAGGGAACAATATAGGATAATAACATTATTAACTGTTTAGTCCATCAAGTAGTCCAGGGTAAGCTGTTGGCTGCTGTTCCTAGGGCCAGATTTTACTGCCTCATCAGGTGCTTCAGGGACCTAGATCATCTTGTAATTTTAAGCTGAAAGTAATGGAAGTGCACAAATAGATGAAACATTGTAAAGTGGTTTTATAGAAGTGACATGGGGATATCATAGAATAAAATAATAGTTAGGGTTGGAAAGAACCATGAGATCATCTAGTTCCAACCCCCCTGCCATGGGCATGGACACCTCACACTAAACTATGTCACCCAAGGCTCTGTCCAACCTGGCCTTGAACACCACCAAGGATAGAGCATTCACAGCTTCCCTAGGCAACCCATTCCAGTGCCTCACCACCCTTACAGTAAAGAATTTCTTCCTTATATCCCATCTAAACTTCCCCTCTTTAAGTTTTAACCCGTTACCCTTGTCCTGTCACTACAGTCCCTAATGAATAGTTCATTCCAGCATTCCTATAGCCCCCCTTCAGATACTGGAAGGCTGCTATGAGGTCTCCACGCAGCCTTCTCTTTTATTACTTCTTTCCTGACTCCTAACTTCATACGAACTTTGTAATGTCTTAGCATGGAACTGCTGCTTCCACAGCCGTTCATGAGTCTGGACTTGAAAGCTAATATAGAACCCCATATTTTGTATGTGCAGCCACAGATTTCCTTTCCAGTTAACCAAAAAAGTAGGCTGGTTTTCCAGAAAGCTAGAAACGTCTGTTCCTAAACAGTCATTCAGACACTGCATCAGTCTGTTCTGTTGCCCCAAGAGTACTTATGACCTTTGGAAGAGCTCGTACATCAGACTGACTTCTCTTTGATCGAGGCCATGTTTACGAATGTCCAGAGTGTGTTTTGTGATGGTTTTGGCACTGGTCTTAAAGTCTTTTGACATACAGTATACACCCTGCCATAAAACTGAACTAAGGACATCCTAAAAGAATCCCATTACCAGGATTTGAGGCATTGTGAGGAAATTCAGCTGTAATGAGATATCAGGCCTGTATGTATTTGTGCAGTGTGGAAGGCACAAAGATGACTGTTTTGCTGGCACAATTCTGCCACAAGGAAAGCTATAAGGGTTTTTAGGGTGTCCACAGCAGTGTGTCAGTGTGGTTGTTTTTAACACAGCTATATGAAGAGAAGGAAAGGTCTCAAGAGATTGGTGCTGGCTGGGTGAAATAAAAAGAGTAGCATCTCTTCCTGTTTAACATCTTTGTTGGTGACACAGACAGTGGGATTGAGCACCCTCAGCAAGTATGCTGATGACACCGAGCTGTGTGGTGCAGTTGACACATTGGAGGGAAGGGGTGGCATCCAGAGGTACCTGGACATGCTGGAGTGTTGGCCAGAGCCAACCTCAGCATACACGTTACCTGCCAGTGTGTGCGCACACTGTATGTATTAGCATGTATGTGCAACATCTGCATGCACATGCGATCTCTAGCAGTGTGCACTTGCAGTCCAGAACCCTGCCGTGTGCTGGGCTGCATGCCCAGAGCATGAGCACCAGCTCGAGGGAGGGGATTCTCCCTCTCTGCTCCTCTCTGGGAAGACCCCACTTGGAGTACTGTGTGCAGTTCTGGTGTTCTCGGTATAAGGAGGATGTGAAGCTGTTGGAGCAAGTCCAGAGGAGGGCCACAAGGATGATCAGGGGACTGGAGCACCTCCCGTATGAGGGCAGGCTGAGAAAATTGGGGCTGTTCAGCCTGGAGAAGGGAAGCGGCGTGGAGACCTCATAGCAGCCTTCCAGTATCTGAAAGGGGCCTACAAGGATGCTGGAGAGGGACTCTTCATCAGGGACTGCAGTGACAGGACAAGGGGTGATGGGTTTAAACTGAAACAGGGAAGATTAAGGTTAGATATCAGGAAGAAGTTCTTTATTGTGAGGGTGGTGAGGAACTGAAACAGGTTGCCCAAAGAAGTGGTTGGACAGAGCCTTGGAGCAGCCTAATCTAGTGGGAGGTGGCCCTGCCTGTGGCTGGGGGTTGGAACTGGGTGGGCTTTAAGGTCCCTTCCAACCCAAACAAGTCTGGGATTCTGTGATACTCATTGACTGACCCCTGTAATGTGGTTTTGTTGCTCTGCACACATCCCTGTGTTAATGACAATTTGACACTGATTTAGCAGGATGGTAAGGAGGTAGCTTGCAGACTTTGAAGCTCTCTATGGGAAAAGAGGCAGCAGCTTTGGCAGCCTCAGTCCACACAGCCAACAGCCCCTGCAGCCTGACCCTGAGCGTGTCCAGCACACGAGGGAAGCTACCAGCTGATGTGGCAGCAGGTGGGGTGGGTGGCATTGCAGCAGGAGGCAGTTGCTCTGGTTCAGTGTGCTGTGGAGCCACAGCCTGGGCACAGGCAGTGTGGCACCAGAGCTGGTGTGTGAAAAGCTGGCTGGGCTTCTGTCTGCGGCTACAGCACTGCCCACTGAGGAGCTCTGAAAGTAGAGTCCAGTTCCTTAAGTACATTTTGTCCACAGAGGATTTCATGAAGACACCCCCATTTGTCCATGCTGCAGCCTACAAGCCACCACTGTTAACTCCATCATTTGCAAAACCTGCTGCTTCTGAGTAAGTATGAGCAACCTTCAGCAGTGGCCTGGTAGAAGTGTCTCTGGGAGGCGTGAATGCCAGGGGGAGTGAGTTGAGCCCTGCTGCCTTGGTTGTTCTGTGGTTTATCAGCTGCAGCAGGGAGCAGAGAGTCCAGCCACTGTTTAGCAACTGAATAAAGGTCTATCAAGCAAATGTCATCAGAACAACTGATAGAGCCTGGGGAACTTTTCTAGCCCTTGACTTTATATTTTTGTTTATTGAAGCAGTAAATGGTAAAACCAAATTCTTGTGCCCTTTCCTGCTGGGAACAGAGATGAATAATGCTTCCAGAGTTGCTGGATGATTGCTCTAATCATGAATAGTAAAATATATTTAGAAAAAGGAGTCCTTGATACTCTACTGAAGTGGAACTATGTTAAAATTATGACAGTGGAATAGAGGTGACCTGCGGATGCCTCAGACTTTGTCCACTCCTGCTACACGTCCTACAGGGATGCAATGAAAACTTCATTGGTATACTGGAGAGAACTCTGGTTTGCCAACTGTTTGTTATACTGACATGCTTATCTTGGGAAATTCAAGCTGGATTGCTTCTCCCAAGGTCATGATGCCATGTGAACTGTTCACAAACTGAACTTCATGGGCATGGGGGATTTGAAGAATTGGGAGAGAGAAAAAAATTAACAGCTCAAAGTAGTTCTTTGACCTTCAATTCAGCATAAGGTTTGCCCAAAATCAGCACTGTGTTCTCTCCCTCTACTCTGTGTTTGTTCATTTGATGTGTGCATTTTCATTTTGCCTCAAAGGCCTCCTCTGCAGCCACAGCAGACAAAGCGAGTTCTAAAGAGCTCATGGAAACAAACATCGGAGCCTAAAATGTCAAGTAGTTTGATAAAGAGGGTATTTAAGGACTATGCAAAAATGCGAGTGGCCACAGAATCGTTCAGAATTGTTGAAAAATGGTAAGTGGCAACAAACTGCTTCCATTCTCACTCATTTTAGTGGTTTTTTTTGTGTTTTGTTTTTTGGTGTTTTGGGTTTTTTGGTCTCTGTGTTTTTGGTGTTTTGTTGTTGTGGTGGTTTTTTGTTTTGTTTTTGGTTTGGTTTGGTTTTCTCCTCGTCCTCTCGTGAAATAACAAACACATCAGGAGGGCTTCTGGCAAGCAGGGAGCCCTCCCTCTTCAGGTGGGGACAGTCACAGGAGCTCTGATCAGCAGGACAGAAACATGGCAGGTGATGTTGGTCTCCTTGTGGCTCTGGAAAACTCTTCTTGTGCTGGGCAAGGTGAACGTGTCCCACTTGTGCACTGTTACATTGGGATCTCTTTTTCTCAGTTTCTTGAATTCATGGACCATGTTACCTTCATGAGTAAGACCTGTGGGTTCTTTGAACAGCAATACTGCAAGAGCCAGTAGTCTGGTCCTCAGTGCTGGTTTTCCCCTGGGGTTAACCCCTGTTCTTGCACGTGTGGGCAGTTTGGGAGGGGTTCTGGATGCAGTTCTGCAACTCATTCGCAGCTGTCTTGGCTGTAAAGTTCCAGGGCACCCAGACTAAGAAGCCAAACTTTGTTCCTGGGCTGGAGTTTCTTCTCCCACAGTTTTCAGTGGCAGGCTGTGACCTGCACAGTGAGCAGCTCTGGTGCAGTTTGCCCTACAGAAGTGGGTGAGTAGCTGGTGCTCACACACTCCACAGCCTGACCTCAATCCTCCTTCAGCACCAAGAAATACTTCAAGCAGCTCTGGAGTGATCTGGCAGCTTTCGCCAGCCATGCCGGAAGGAAGACAGTGGAAGTGTCTGACGTAGAAGTCCTCATGAGAAGGTAACAGGAGGGTTGTCTTTAACCTGTAAGTAATCTTATGTAGTGCTTTGATAGCCCAGTAAAACAGTCATTGCCAGAGTGTGCACTAGCAGTTAAGTATTTCAGCAGTAAGCATGGTATTGTGTATTTACTCTTTACAATGCCACTTGGCCTTCTGTCCCAGGAGGGAATTGGTGGACTTGTGGTTTTATACTCCACAGTGGTGGAAGGGCAAGAGTAAGTAGTGAAGGGTTGGGAGCACAAGGAGTCATCTGAGAAACTAGTAGCAAGAGGAGGGCCACATATGCAGGGGTGAAGCAGTTACAGCTGCAAAATAGGTAGTGTTAGTCATAAAGCAGAGTAGCAACAAGTGTGAGGTTGGGCTGCATCGTTTGCATCCTTGAGTGACTTCTGCTAAAAGTACTTGCAATGGAAACAGTGTGAGCATTTCCACATGTCCTGCTCTGATCTAATCACTTAACTCTTACAAACAACACCCCATTCTCCCTGCTGCTGCAGCTGCTGGTACTTGGGGTTCAACCTGGCAGCTCTTCTGCAGAGCAGAAGGAACCTCTGGCCTGGGAGGCCAGGGCTGGCCTCTCCTGGCAGTGGTGCTCCCTGGCCAGCAGCCTGGAGGGATGGTTCTCAGAGCTTCTTCATTGCTGTTCTTCCCTGGGGTCTCCCTCAGCTGCACCATCTCATGCCTGAATTTACTTTGTGCTGTTACCAAAACACAGGAACATGCTCTTGGCTTGGGAGCCCTCTTCAGAGGGGCCCAAAACAGTCATCACGCATTTCAAGTCATCACTCCAGGTTATTATTCCTTGTTTCCACTGAGTTTCAGATGGGATGTTAAAGTCATCTGAGGGATTGTGCAGGGCATGCCTGGTTGAGGGCATTGGTTTTGCATGGGCCTGTGTGATGGACCTGGGGCTGTTGGTTAGAAATAATCACCTGTTGCTGTCCTGATCTGGAGATTTTAATTTTCCCACCTGAGAGGTGTGTCCTGATGTTAGTATGAACAGGCTGAGAAACTTGGTTTTGTTGGCCATGGTTGAGGATTCTGAACACATATTTTACCTTTTTGTAGATGTCTAGGGGCTTTTGACAAGGGCCTGTAGGGACAGGACAAAGGGGAATGGCTTTGACCTGACAGAGGGGAGATTTGAGATGAGACTTCAGGAAGAAGCTCTTCCCTGTGAGGGTGTTGAGGCCCTGGCAGAGGTGTATGTCCATGTGCTGGCCCTTGCCATGGTGAGAATGTAGCTCTGTGGGAGCTCCTGCAGTTAGCTGCTGTGTCCCTGTGTGTGTAGGTGAGCTTGGGTTCTGCGCTGTGCGCAGGACCTGGAGAATTGCCTGCAAGTAGGAGCCTGTATCTGTCGCAGCAGCCACAGCATTTCAGCTGTGAAATGCAAAACAGCCACTGCAAGAAACTTTACAAATTTTACTCTTGAGTAGAAACACTTTTCACTAACGACTGTCTTCTCTGCTCTCCTCTTTCTGAACCAAGGCAAAGGCTGGTGACAGATGAGATACCTCTGCGTGTGCTGATTGAGCATCACCTCCCTCTGGATTATAGAAAGCTCCTGATTCCAGTTGCTGTGAGTGGAAATAAAGTGATCCCTGAAATTAAACGCAGCAGTAGCTGCAGGCTGTGAAAAGATGCCTGATGGCTGGCACTGCTCCGTGCAATGGTTTTCTACCAGTAACCAGTGGGGCAGTGAGCGGTCGACGTTTTCTGGAGATGATTTTGTGCTGTGTCTGTCACCAGTTGTTACACAAATAATTTGACTATCCTGAATTTGTTGTAACCTTTGAATATTTGTGCATCATGATAAATAAAGTATGTTCTGCACAATGCAAATGCTGCTCATGGAAGTGGGCTGAAAGGCTGCTGCATTTAAACTGACAGAGGGAAGACTGAGATGAGATCTTGGGAAGTTCTTCCCTGTGAGGGTGCTGAGGCACTGGCACAGGTTGCCCAGAGAAGCTGTAGCTGCCCCATCCCTGGCAGTGTTCAAGGCCAGCTTGGATGGGGCTTGCTGCTTTACTTTGGATTGAACCTGCTTAGGAATAAAAGCCTGCCTAAACTTTGTACAACATATGTAAGACCTTGATGGGTCTTAATTTAGATATAAAAAGAGAGTGAAATAACTACTTCACAGTGTCCACCTGGTAAAATGGGAGTGAATAAGCTGCCCTTTGTTGATCCAAGGCTGATGAAGGAAAGTGTCTGGGAAGCACTGCAGGTCGTACCTTGCCCTGCTGACCTGACCTCAGAGCTCTTGTTTCCCTCTATCCCTTCACAACCAGCTCATCTCTGTCCCAATGTAGGGAACATGAGGGAAAAATGAATCGGCCCATAGGCCTCAGCATATAACTCCGAAGTCAAAGTATGGTGGGAGGAGGATGAGTGCAGGTTGTGCTCATGCTGAAGGCTCCAGAGCATGATGTGCTGCAATTTGGGGTGACTTTATTGTATGTATTCCTGCTTTGTTGCTTGGTCCCTGGAAGAGACTGTGCTGAGAATGGGACATTCAGCTGTGTACCTTCCCTGTGGCACAGGATTGGCCTTGCCTGTTGCCCAGGAACACTATATGTGTGCTCCCACATGAGGGGCATTATTGACTGTGGCTCTTCATGGGTCTAGTTATTTAGGCAGAAGCCTGTTTTGTTTGAAAGACAGTGTGGGGAGGATGAAGAGATGATGACCTTTTAGTTATCTCACACTTTGCAGTCCTATGGCATTTGCCCACGGCTCAAAGATTAAGGTGTCCTGAATGAATTCTTAACGAAATACCAGTGATGCTCACTATAAAGCAGGAATTAATCTCCAGGTATTTGATTCGGAAGAGCTCTGGCTTGCCATCTCATGCAGCTTCATTATTCCATTATGGTCTCATCAACCAACTGGTTCCATTTTCCTCATTGCAGAAGCATCTCTGGCCTTAAAATGAACATGAGGGATTGTAGCAAAACTTAGCAAGCCCTGAACTGCCTTCAGCTCCATCTTAGGCCCTGCACCAGAGCACCGGGCAGGGTGACATTCAGGTGGAATGCATCTGCTTGAATGGATTACAGGTGTGCACAGTGCTGGAGCTCCTCTGGGAGCGAGTAAAGGGGAGCCTGGGTTTAGAGCAGAGCTTACAGCTGTCTGTTAGGCTGTGCTTATCATGTGCTTATTCATGACAGTGCTTTCCTGGGGGCGAGGCAGGCTGGGAGTTGGGTGATCTGGGTCACCTGTTGTCCAAGGTACAAGTGAGCAGGAGGGAGGAGCAGATAGTCCCTTTTGGGGGCAGTGCTGGCACCCCTGGGTGGTTGTGTGGAACTTGATGTTTAGGCTTTATTGACAAACTGGGTGTTTGAGGTGGTGGGTGGTTGTTTCATGCCTAGTCCTGCTCACTAGCTTGCTCTCCTAGACATGTGAGAAACACTTTGGATTCTGCCATGGATTTCTCCAACCGCTGCTCTGTTTCAGGAGAGCACACACAGGGATGTGGCTGTGCTGAAGCTGGGTGGATGTGTAGGAGGCAGTTTCACTGCTTGCTGTGGTCATTGTATGCTTTTCCTGAGCTGTTGTTACTGCTTGAGGAAGGGCACTGCTAGCAAGGCACCTTCAGTGCCCATGCTCTGACAAATGTCGGGAAGTGCAGCTTGTTTCTCTTATCCTGGGGCAGCAATAAGTGAGCCTCTGCTGCTGGAGCTTCAGGGCTGCCTCAGCAAGTTTGCAAATTACACCAAATTGTCAGGCAGTGTTGATCTGGAGGCTCTGCAGAGGGCTCTGGACAGGCTGGATCAATGGCTTGTGGCCAATGGGATGAGGTTCAACAAAGCAAAGTGCCAGGTCCTGCACTTGGGTCACAACAGCCCCATGCAACATGCCAGGCTGGAAAGCCACTCATGGAAAAGGACCCAGGAGTGCTGATTGATAGAGCTGAACATGAGCAGCTTGTGCCCATCCATCCAAGAAGGCCAATGGCTGAGAAGCAATCACCTCCCTGTACTTGTACTGCGCACTGATAAGGCTGCACTTCAAATCTTGTGTTCAGTTCTGCGCCCCTCACTGCAGGAAAGACATTGAGGTGCTGGAGCAGGTCCAGAGAAGGGCAGCGGAGCTGATGAAGGGCCTGGAGCACAAGTGTGATGGAGAACAGCTGAGGGAACTGGGGGGTTTAATCTGGAGAAGGCTCGGGGGTGACCTTATTGCTATCTGCAACTGCCTGACAGGAGGATGGAGTGAGGTGGGGTGTAGGTTGGGATGTCTGCTCTGAAAACTATTCCCTCTTGCACCAGGATGATCTTGTCCTGTAGAAGAACTTGTATGTTTTAGCTCATCTGTAAATGCCCTCTTTTTCCCTGCACAACAGGCTGCACAGGCGATGACCCAGTGCTAGCTTTCTTACTTCAAAAGACTGAAAAGTCACTACCATGTGCTAAGATACCCATGTCCAGTCATGGGATGGATACTGGGATAAAATAAGAGTGGTGTTTATTGTATGTTTTCAGGAGTACACAACCTGAAGCAAGTATAGCTTTTAGTTTCAGGTCCAGGCACTGCTTTGTTGGGATTGCAGAGTGAGATTTGTGTCCTGCCATCTGTAGATGTATCAAAAAGGTGTCAGAATGAGAGGAAAAGCCACTCAGGGTTGTTGGTGGAATCTCCATTGGCCATGGCAGTGGCTGTGAGCCTGGAGGCTCTCTTGAGGGCTGCCTGCTTTCAGAAGTCAGTGAGGAGTAAAACTCCCTGCTGTGCTGGAAATAATGGGATCCATGTGGGAGCCCATGTCTCAGGGTCAGCCCCGTGCTCAGCTGCTGCTCTTCCTCCCCAGGTGCTTTGCTGCTCGTGCACTGACACGACAGGCTCTGCAAATCTGCTGCTTATTCACTTATCTGCTTGGTTCGTCTCTCCCATGGCACAGGCTGCAGAGGCAGGAAGAGGACAAGCTGGTTGGTGTTCCTAAGGAGCACAGGGTAGTCCCCCCTCTCGGAGAACAGCCTTCCCTTCCCATCTGCACCTCCCAGAACCAGGGGACAGAGGTGCAGGGAGGCTCCATGCCTTTCTGCAATGATACTTTCACCACTGTGCCCATGGTAAGTGATGGCTGAGAACCTCCCTTCCTGCTCCTCCTCCTTCTCATCTCTGAATGAGGTCCCTTGGCAGATCCCACATCAGCTGCTTGATGTGCCAGGAGAGGAGACATCAGGTTTCTGGTGAGGCTGGGGGCGCTTGTTGCAGAAGCATTTCTGAACAGCAGCAAGAGCCGACCCCAGGCTGGGCTCTGCTGCAAGGGCTGTGAATTAAGGGCACTTTGTGAGTGTCCTCACAGCGTTTAGAGGTATCAGTAATTCTCTGTAAGGACACATTTCCATGTAGTGCATGGGGGTGAAGAAAGGGCATTGGTGGACTGTCAGTGTAGGCAAGTGTCTGGGATCCACGGGCACCCAGAATGAGCATGGAGATGAGCTTTCCATGGCCCATGGCTGGTGGGCCCCTGTTGTGCCAGCTCACAGGCTGCTCTCTGGGCAGTGCTGTTGGGGCTAAGGCCAGCAGGACTGAGGCAGTGGAGCTCATCAGGAACAGCCACCTCCTGCCCACGGCTGTCGCTGCATGAGCACAGGCTGGCAGGGGCGTGCCCAGGTGCGTGAGGCCAGTAAGGGAGTGCTGGGATGTGCAGAGCAGCTCTGCCGCAGGGCCCGTGTCTCCTTGCTTTGCCCAGAGATGATGCCTCTGTGTCCTGTAGCTGTGCCATGTCCTGTGGGCCATGCACCCGCTCCCAACCAGCTGTGAGCAGGTGCGACGCTGGCGTCTCCTCCTGCGCGGGACAGGGCTGCAGTGCTGAAAGCTGCTCCAGTGAGAGCCTCAGGCATGGAACTGTCCCGGGGTGCTGCAGAGCCGACTTGTCCTATTCGTTGTCTGTAGGGCTCCATCTTCTTCCCCCTGCAGGACGGGACAGGCTTATGCTACCACCTGGAAGGAACTGCTGAAGCCCCCCGGTGTTCAGGGGCCATTTCCTGGCAGGTTCCATGCAGGAGTTCCCACACGGAGCTCATCCATGTGTCCAACTGGCTGCTCAGACCACAGAGGTGAGTCCAGCCCAGGAAGTCTGGTCCCATCAGCAATCCCTGCAGCAGCACAAGGAAGGAAGCTTCCAGTGCCTGGAAGCGCCTTCCTGAAAGCTTTTCCCTCTCCTTGGCCATGTCTGGCCATCCCCACGTTCTGCCTGTGCAGAGCCATCCTGGAGGGCTTTCCTCCAAGGGGGTGAGAGCTGGCGCCCCGTGCCTGAGGCACTGAGGATGAGAGGGGCTGTATTGTACCCCCGCATGATGGGTATCCTATGGGGGTCCTTCCTGTTGACCTTCACTGCATCCTTCTCACCCACAGGCTCCTGGTGGTTACTGACATGCTCAAACCAGAGAACATGGAAAGCAGTTCTGTGCTGCAGGGGTGTTCATACATCGACGTGCCAAGCTCTGTGAAGAAGGACTACCAGCTCACCTTCTTCTCCTACAAAGAAGGAGTCTTCAGGGCAAAGGTAAGTGAGGACTCTGGTCTGCAGGGCCCTTCAAGGAGCTGTTGGCATACTGAGAAGCTACATGCCTGTTTTCATACCTCCACGTGCCCACTGGTAGTATTGGAGGTGTCCCAGGTGGGTACTGAACACCAGAATCTCATCACACACCCACATGTGCAGCAGTGTCTGTGATCACAGGGTCCCACTGGATTCTGCTGAGCACAGGGTGATGCAGGACATTGGTAATCTGGAAGCAATGGGCAGTTGGGAATGTATCAAGTAGAAAGTAGAAGGACTTGGGGCTGTTGCTGGATGAGATGCTCCCCATGACAGTCATGTGTGCTGGAGCCCAGACACCACCCCCCCCCCCCCCCCCCCCCCGCATGTGTGCTGCTGCTGCACCCCCAGATCATGATCAGGAGGTTGAGGGAGGAGATTCTTCTCCTCTGTCCCTCTCTGGGGAGACCCCCCTGCAG